TTCCTCTACTTTATGTGGGATGCTGCCACAGCATGGCTTGACAAGCGGTGCATTGGTGTGCGCCCGGGATCCGACCCTGCAAACCCCAGGCCCCTGAAGCAGAGTGCGCACACTTAACCGCTGCGCCACTGGGCTGGCCCCTGATCATTATTTTTTACTCTTCTTTGTGTATCTTCTTCATTCTTCTTTTTCTGCATCTACATGCATAACAGAAAATAGCTACCCTAAACCGAGATAGAGCTTTTACTTCCCAACTTCAGCACCAGACCATCTACAAATAACCAATGTCTCTGGGTCTTTATTTCAAATTCCTAGGGGAGAAAGCCTCACTGGCTTAGCTTAGGTCAGGTATCCATTCTTGGTACCATCACCTGGGAGTGGCATCACACATGATACAAACATGGCCACAAGGCCCCACCCTGTGGGATGGAGACAGGAGCTGGGCACAAACCCAAAAAGTGTCTACTACATTATTTTGCAAAAGCTTACCTTCCAGAAGTTTTTATAATGAAAGAGTATCGTCTCAATTGTTCCACAGTATGATTATTAAGACATGGTATGATTATAAGACATCGAAAATGATCATAATGTTATGAGATCATATTTTGGTCCCACTGCCATCTTTTTTGCAAGAGACAATGCCTGACTTTAGCATCTTCTTTGGTATAAACATTCTGCCCTTTCTGGAAGATCTTTTAAAATTTATTCGATAAAGAATATCTAGGGACCGGCAGGGTGGCATAATGGTTAAGTTCACATGGCTCCACTTCGGTGGCCCGGGGTTCGCAGGTTCGGATGCCAGGCACGGACGGACACACCACTCGTCAAGCTATGCTGTGGCAGGCATGCCACGTATAAAAACAATAGAGGAATATGGGCACAGATGTTGGCTCAGGGCTGGTCTTCTTCAGCAAAAAGAGGAAGATTGGCAACAGATGTTAGCTCAGAGCCAATCCTCCTCACCAAAAAAAAAAAAAAACCCCACAGAAATAAATACATAATTATTAAAAAAAAACAAAAAACAGAATATCTAAGTCCACTCACCACAGCATTTTGTCACTGGAAAGGCAGAAGTGACCTCTCAAGGCAGCTAGGGCAGCATGGGTAGAATACAGATGGAAACCAATGGGAATCCCACAGGAGCTACAGAATAAAAGGTTATAAGTGCTGGGGATAAAACCAGAATATGGGTTAGAAAGAAAATCAGAGAACAAAGACAAAATATTCAGTCTCTGGAAGCACTCCTAAAAACTATGCTTATAATAGGAATGAGACTGAAGAAATGTCACATTCAAGAAAGGTTAACTCAGATTTTAATATAGTTACATCCTAGATAGATACCTTTGTGGATTCTGGCCACAAAAGCAATCATGGATGTACGACTGTCACCTCAATAGAGAAAAGTAATTTACATTTGAAAAGCAGAAAAAGAGCTAACTAATCAGATTAACAGTTAAACTATAAAACTACGCATGACCATATAAATAAGCTACCATTAAGCCAATTTCCAGTTGAAGTAAAATAATCAAGTTGATTGAAGCTTACTAAACAATTTATTAATAGAACTCACAGCAGGATTTTTCTTTTGCAGATATAACAAAAAATTAACTTAAAAAATTCCCCAGAGGGCCGGCCCCGTGGCTTAGCGGTTAAGTGCGTGCGCTCCGCTGCTGGTGGCCCGGGTTTGGATCCTGGGCACGCACCGACACACTGCTTCTCCGGCCATGCTGAGGCCGTGTCCCACATACAGCAACTGGAAGGATGTGCAGCTATGACATACAACTATCTACTGGGGCTTTGGAGGGAAAAAAAAAAAAAAAAAAAAAAAAAAAAAAAAAAAAAAAAAAATTCCCCAGAAAATATGCAAAAGAAAGAGAAGAAAAGGAATCCTATTACCCTAGCAAGCCATCTATTTTCTTTTCCTTTATCCTCTGAAAGATTACTGGATGAGGAATCAGAAAATGTTGATTTTTGGCCGGCCCGTGGCTTAGCGGTTAAGTGTGCGTGCTCCGCTACTGGTGGCCCGGGTTCAGATCCCCGCGCACCGACGCACCGCTTGTCAGGCCATGCTGAGGCCGCATCCCACATACGGCAACTAGAAGGATGTGCAGCTATGACATACAACTATCTACTGGGGCTTTGGGGGAAAAATAAATAAATAAAATTAAAAAAAAAAAAAAAGGAAATGTTGATTTTAATTCTAGTTATACACTTGGGTAAGTCACTTACCAGTCACTTGCTGCTATATAGAACATATCCAAATATTACAAAGAAATGTTTTAAGAAAAAATTAACTATGTTTCATCACACATGTACTGAAAGCAATTTTAAAGTGGTGTGGTGAAGCCGGCCAGGTGGCATAGTGGTTAAATGCGTGCGCTCCGCTTCAGTGGCCCGGGGTTCGTGGGTTCGGATCCCGGGAGCGCACTGACGCACCGCTCGTCAAGCCATGCTGTGGTGGCGTCCCATAAAAAGTAGAGGAAGATGGACACAGATGTTAGTCCAGGGCCAATCGTCCTCAGCAAAAAGAGGAGGATTGGCATCGGATGTTAGCTCAGGGCTAATCTTCCTCACAAAAAAATAAAGTGGTGTGGTAAGGGAAAAACTACTTGTATAAACATAATATGCTATGCATTAAAATTCTATTAGAGTATAAAAATTACATGGCTAAAAAGAAACAGATTCATGTCAATGGATACTAAAAAAGACCAAGCAACAAAACATACTAAATTTATTGGTATATTACTTAATCACAAAAATTCACATTTTTGTGAATATGGTAACCAAAAAGCAAGCCATGAAATAAAGTTATATTAATTTGAATTAATTCCTATCTAGGAATTAATTAGATCAGACAAAGCACAGTACCTACAGACAAATATAGAAACTAATATATGGCACAGAGCAAAATGTAAAGAAATCACAAAATTATGCTTACGCATGCAATACAAAACAACGATTTCATTGCAGATTAGTCTAATGGCCTTGGAGAATGGTTTGCATCACCACACCAGGTAAATAACTATGATCAGCTGAGTGCTTGCTGAAGGCAAAGGGAATACAGAACAGGCAGTGGAAGAAGGTAGTTATAAATACCAGCTATGAGCACGGGACGAGTTACAGAACCGAGGACTGTAACTGTCATATTTCCTCCCTATTTTGTTATAAATATGTTGGTGTGTATATGTGTGTTTATCTGTTTTCTTCCTTCTGCTTTCTTCTCTCTCTTAGCAAATATCTGTTTTCTTTCCTCTCTTATTCCCTCATCATGTAACATAAGCTATATCGTCTTTATATCATCGTATTTAAGTATTGGTAATTTTACATCATGGAATTTAAGTTATGAGATATCAAAGAGAAAAGTAAACTTCACTTAAAGACTTTACCTCCTTTTCTGGAGAAGGGGTTAGTGCATTTTCAGTTGTACGCAGGATTCTTGTAACATGTTAGGCAGAATTATGACCTTGTTATTGTCTTTATTTGGAGATTAAGTATGGTTTTAGGAGATGCATATGGGAGCCAAGTTAACAACTGATGGTTAAATTTTATGTGTCAATTTTACTGGGCCACAGGGTGCCCAGTTATTTTGTCCAACATCATTATGAATGTGTTTGTGAGGGTGTTTTTTAATGAGATTAACATTTGAATCAGTAGACTGAGTAAAGCAGATAGCCCTCGCTAATGTGGGTGGCCCTCACCTACTCAGTGAAAGGCCTGAATACAACAAAAAGGCTGACTCTCTCATGAGTAAGGGGGAACTCCTTCTGCCTGACTGCCTTGAGCTGGGACATTGGTCTTTTTTCCTGCCTTTGGACCTGAACTGAAACGTCGCCTCTTCTTAGATCTTGAGCCTGCTGGCTTTTGGACTGCAACTTACATCTTTGGTTCTCCTGGCCTATGGACTTGGACTAGAACTAAACCATTGGTTCTCCTGTGTCTCCAGCTCTTGGGACTTTTCACCCTCCATAACTGCATAGCCAATTCCTGGTAATAAATCTCTTCCTGCCAAGTCCCATGGTTCTCCTTATTCCAAAAATACACAAACACATGGGACTTTTCCTCCAGTGTTTTATAAACCATCTAGATCAGTATTGTCCAATAGGAATATAATGTGAGCCACATAAGTATTTTTAAATTTTCTATTGGTCTCGTTAAAAAAAAAAATTTTAAAGAAACAGATGAAATTAGTTTTAATATATTTGATGCTACCCAATATATCAAAAATATCATTTCAACATGTAATCAATATTTTAAAATTATTAATTTTTTTGTACCAAGTCTTCAAAATCCAGTGCATATTTTGCACTCACAGCATATCTCAATTCAGAATGGCCACATCTTAAGTGCTCAATAGCTACATGTGGCTAATGGTTACAGTACTGGACAGCACAGGTCTAGAGGCATTATCCTCCTCTCTAAGCAGATGTTCAGAGAGCTTCTGCCTCTGGCCCCAAATGACCTAGTTCCAAGCAGGCCACTATTCCTTCCCTCTCTGTTCACTTGGGGTGGGAAGAGGACACTTCCATAAGGATAGGGAGTTAGTGTCTTTCAGTTGGGAGAGAGGAGCTGCAGAACGCTTCCTGGTTACTGAGTAAAGCAACCAAGAATTCCTATACATTAACCCTAAAACTGACCCAACTGTGGTCAGAATAAACCGTCTTGCTGTTAAAGCCAACAGCCAAAATTGAAGAGCCTTGTAATACTAAATTCACTGAGTACCTTGTTGTCACTTGTAAATCATAGTACAGGCAAGATGCAAAGTTCACCAGGCAGTATTCAAGTATGTAACACTCAACTTGTGTTTTTCCCCAGTTTCCAGGGTTACAGCAGAGTTAGTCCTGCCATAGCTTATTACAAACTCCAGGTTAAATGTAAACTTATAAGTCCTAGTTATCTCAAAGGATGGTAGTCTGTAGTAATTGATTCTCACTATACACCCAAAGGTAATTTTCTCCTTTTTCCCCTACTAGGCAGATGTTTCTTAGCCTCACTTCACTTGCACAAGCCACTAGGGAAATGTGACCCTCAGAAAGATTCTAAAATCAACACATAAATACCACTTTTCCAATGCATTAATACCTCAAGTTCGTACAAGACTCAAGCAGGTAAAACGAGCATCCTTAGCATACACTGTATGGATGGAATCAACTTCTTCTAGCGCAAGATAAGAACAAGCTATTTTCTCCTCCTGCATGTCGGTTCCACACTCCTCAGTCTCAATAAGTCAGGGACTAGAGACCGATAGGGAATTCTCAGATCGAAAATTCTCAGTACGTACCTGCCTTCGAGCACACCTTCAATGCCAACTAGGAAGGGAGCTTCCAAAACCACGTTATTTGTGACTCCTAGGAAAACAAACACGGGTCAGAATGAGTACCTGTGAGGCCTTGAAAGGGAAAGCCTTCCCCCTTCAGACAGACTCATCATGGCCACAAAAATCAAGAAAATCCCGGCAAAGGGGTTCATTTCCTTCCAAATCTTCACCCAGTTTTCTTCCCCAGCTGGCTCTCGGCCACCCGGTGAGAAAGCTGGAACACCCTCTCGGGGCCCTCCCCAGACGCCGTCCCCACTCACTGGAGAAGACCACGGCCCCTAGGGACCGCGACAGGTCCCAGGCGAGGTGCACCGTGTCAGCCAGCACGGCGTGGCACTGAGCGCACTGGAACACGGCGCACCTCTCGGGCTGCAGCCACGACGGCAACCGCGGGCTGGATGGCAGCTCCTCCGCCCCCAGCCCTACAGGGCCGAGCGGCGAGGACCCCTTCACCACCTGCGTGTCCCACTCCATGGAAGTCGTTAAAGAAGGTTCATCAATCGCCTTCTTAGCGCTATCGCAAAAGTCACCCCGCGGCAACACTGCATAGCGCGAGCGATGCCGCCGCGGCCGAGCCGCCATTTTCCCGCAGCCGCGCCTCCGTTTCGAACACGCACCGGGCCCCGCCCCAGGCACGGTTCCTCCGTCCTCATTGGACATCGTGAGCCGGGGCTCTGCGGCGCATTCGTTGCCTGGACACGCCCTTCGACGCCTACGTGTTGGTGAGGGGTGGGGAAGAACATGCGACTAAGGGGAATCAGCCTTTCTATTGGTCAACACCAGGAAACCCCGCCTTCGAGGCATTTTTAACCAATGGAAGTGCAGCACCCTTAATTTAAACTGTCTATAAAATTCGGCTTGGTCAACGCTTATAGTGGCGCCAGAGATTTGAACGGCGCTGCTGAGGTTGGAGTGTCGATCGTCTGCGTGGTCGCCTGGATTACAGATCGCGATGACCGTCCCTTCCCTGGAGGAGCTGGACTCCTTCAAGTACAGTGACCTGCAGAACTTGGCCAAGAGTCTGGGCCTCCGGGCTAACCTGAGGGTACGGGGTCGATGGCGTGGGCCGGTTGCGGGAGGGGTAGGATGAGCGGCTTTAGGGAGACGCGGTGGGAAGGGACCGAGCCCGCCCTGGGCCGGTAGATTTGGTTAACGAGGAAGGGGAGCCGTAGTTTTCACTTTATTTTGAGGCTGACTTTTCTGAGGGCTCACATAGGCCTCGGCTCCGAAAGGGTGTGTTTGGTTCGGTTTTATTGAAGTACTCTGTGATACTTCCAGGGCGTCGGTTAGGAAATGCAGGCAGAAAGCTCAAGGAATGCTGTGTCTAATGCCGATTAATTATTAGGCAGTCGCGGAAATAATTGCCTTGGCTTCTGGAAAATTCCAAACAATAACACTTCTGTAAATTGTAATAGTGCCCAAAATCTCTTGCTACTTTATTGGGGGACCCGGAAGAAAGGAACACTTTTAGGGGACCACCCCTGTGGATAAATTTTTATATCTCAGCCCTGATGTACTATGAGCGTTCATTTATTGACCACTATTGTAGTAGTGTTCTGTTTCAAAACCGGTAAGTTCTTTGACTCAGAGGCTGCAAAACGCTGGGGGAGAATGTGGGGATTCAATTTGGGATTGGGGTTCTATACTAGATTCTAGTGGAGTTTTCCCACATAATACTAATTGCAGAACAAATACTCGAGATTTACACTGAGCAAATGCCTAAATCAGCCATCTTAAATGTTTTTAAATGGTTTAAACAAAATAATAGTGCCCAGGTACCTCTTGGGGCTGAATGGTAAAGGAGTGTCTTTGGAGATATTTCTGAGCTATAATGTTTAATGGCTCCCCAATTTCATAAACAAAGCCTAATTCCTTTTTTTTTAAAATTATTTATTTATTTATTTGTGTGAGGAAGATCAGCCCTGAGCTAACATCCATGCTAATCCTCCTCTTTTTGCTGAGGAAGACGGGCCCTGATCTAACATCTATTACCAATCCTCCTCCTTTTTTTTTTCCCCCAAAGCCCCAGTAAGGTGGTTGTATGTCATAGCCGCACATCCTTCTAGTTGCTGTATGTGGGACGCGACCTCAGCATGGCAGGAGAAGCGGTGCGTCGGTGCGCGCCCGGGATCCGAACCCCAGGCCGCCAGTAGCGGAGCGCGCGCACTTAACCGCTAAGCCACCGGCCGGCCCGCAAAACCTAATTCCTTAGCTTAAATCCCTTAGGCTTTTTGCAGGCTGGCTGGAATCTTTTTGTCCAAGGCTGCATCCAAACTGGACTGGTCCCTGAACACTTGGTACCTTTGTCCATCTTTGTGCCTGTGCTAACTTTGGCCTCAGATCCCTTTCTCTCTCCCTCTTCTTTATCTGCATGAATAATTTCCAATTACTCTTCACAGTCCATCTGAAATGTCATCATTGTCTTGGCGCCTCTTCCCCTCCTCTTCATTCCTTTAACCACAGGTCCAACACCCCAGTAATCCCAGGAACCCTCTGTGCTTTTAAAGCAGTTTAATTTCAAGTACTCTCTTTGAGCACTTGCAGGCTTCCACCTTGTACTCTGGTTATTTGTGTCTATATGTTATCTTCTCCACTAAAAATTAAGTTCCTTGAACAGGGATCTCATCCATCCACCTTGGAAGTCTTTACAGCACTAAGTGCAGTATGTTTTATATAGAAGATGCTGAATAATTACTATTTATTATTTACAACCACTTCTTGGCAGTGCTGGAATAATGCACCAGAGGGTGGCAAGAAAGTTACAGTGTAGACACATACCTGAGTTCAGAAGTCTGGCTAACATTAAGGCCTACAACCATTTGGGTCTCTGAAGAGCTATTGCAAGTTAGATCTTTTTCTGAAAGTCCCACCCATCATTGTCTCTTGAGGTGGCTGATCTGGGGTAGCCAATTAATCACCTTGTTGTCACAGAGGTGGAGTAGTACACTGTTTGTCACTACAGACCCCATCGCCTGCCTAGCACACAATATCTAGCACATCCTTGGTGCTGATACATATTTGTTGAGAGGTACTATTTCCCAGACAAATTTGACCATACAAGGCTTTATTATAACCAAAATAAAAAGACACTTTTGAGATGGAGAAAATTAAACTTCGACTAGGTATTGTATTAAGCTACTGTTAATTTTGTTGGGTATGATAATAGTATTGTGATTATGTTTCTCTCTCTGTTTTTTAGTAACACATACCAAGTACTTACAGGTGAAATGTTATGATGCCTAGGATTTGCTATAAAATGCTGCAGGAAAAAGACGGGGGTCTAGATGAAGTAGGAACAGCAGAATGTTGATAATTGTTGAAACTGGGTGATAGATACATGGGGGTACATTACACTATTCTCTGTACTTTTGTATGTGTTTGAAGTTTTCCCTAAGTAAAATGTTTTAAATTATTTATAGCTGGTACAGCCCAGAGGCTCATTAAATCAATTGCCTTTTTAAATTCCAAGTACATAGCAAAAAATGAATAAAGTGCTCCAAGAAATTATCAAGATTTGATTATTTTTAAAATTTTCAATAAAATTTAAATAAATTTCACCAGTATGATAACATTCTAGATACATTTCAAAGAGAAAATATTAGCTCTTCCAGTTGAGATACTACTCTTGACGGTAAAGCAAGACAAAGGAGGCAGTTACTCATAGTTATTGTATGGCCACTGGTCCTTTTCTCTTCTCACTGCTGCCCTTGCTTTCCTTCTTACAAGCTTAGATTACAAAGACTGGCACTATTTCCACTTTCTTGCAGCTCCCCTCCCTCACCTGGCAAAACTCCAAGCCTGATTAAACCCAGCTCTGTGCTTAATCCTTGCCTATACCTAACCTGTGTAACCCTGGCTGGAGAAAATCAGCTAACTCTGTTGACTGAACTGAACTTAAATTTACGACCATAAATCATAAAATGAGCATTTGATTCTACTACACTTCCTTAGTAGTCATTAACTTTCCCATTTTTGAGGACAGTTAGTTTGTATCTTCTCACCTCAAATTGGCTCCCTTCTCTCACTTGATGACTTTTCCTCATGGGTCATGGAAAAATAGATGCAATCAGCTGAGAATTACTTCATCTTTCCACACCAACCCTCCAGCCAGCCTGCACCTGTCCTGCCTACTCTGCCTTCCGCCTGTTATAGCAAAAGGCTGCGCCTAAGGGCAGCCTTGCCATCTGTGCTGGGAACCCGTTCCCTCTTCCCGGGCTACACTCCTGCAATGAGCTCCCCTCTCCTCCACCAGTTTCTCCCACTCCGCTGGCTCATTTCCATAAGGCATGCAGTCAAGTCTTACTATCAACCATCTTAAAAAAAGAAACAAAAACCCTCTCCTGACCCTATGTCCTTCACCTACTGCCCAATTTCTCTGTTCTTTTCCACTGAAATTACTCTTATTGAGGCCACCATGCCCTGCATCTTACAAAGCTTGTGGTCTATCTCTATCCTCACCTGTCAATCAGCAGCATTTGGCATGACTGAACACTCCTTTCTGCTCAAACCACTTTCTTTTCTAGACTTCTTTGATACTGAGTTTTCTCCTGCCTGACTAGCACTTCTTTCTCGTCTCCTTTGCTGGTTCTTCTCTGCCAAATCTCTAAATGAGGAGTGCCCCAGAGTTCTCTCCTTGGCCTTCTTTTCTCTAACTGCTTTCTTCCCTGGTGATCTTATCCATTCTCATAACTCTAAATTCATCTAGAACTGATGACTCCCAAGTCCACATCTCCAGTGGGACCTCTCCCCTGAGCTGCTGACTCATGTATTTAAGTGCATCTTAAAGGGTGTGATCGGTTAAGGACAATTAAGATCTCTTCCCAGTCTCAGTAACTGGTTCAGACCCACTTTCGATCAGCCTCAATTCCTCCCTTCATCACTCACACCCATCCATCCTTGTCAGCCCTTCCTCCCAAGTACACTTGAAGTCTGACCTCTAGGCACCATCTCCAGTGCTGCAAACCTGGGCCACAGCACTCTTGTCTCTTGACCACTGCTCAGTCTGTCTGCTGGTCTCCCTGCCTCTACTCTGGCCTCACAGAAGTATTCTCTTGGTAGTCAGGTGATATTTGAAACTTAGAATGTGTCATTTTTCTGCTTAGCGCCCTCCAGTGACTTTCCTCACATAAATAAAATCCAAACTCCTCCAAATGTAATATGAGAAATTTGGTTTGATCCTGATTTGGAGGGAAATTTTTTTTTTTAATTTTATTTATTTATTTTTTTCCCCCAAAGCCCCAGTAGATAGTTGTATGTCATAGATGCACATCCTTCTAGTTGCTGTACGTGGGACGCGGCCTCAGCATGGCCGGAGAAGCGGTGCATCCGTGCACGCCTGGGATCCAAACCCGGGCTGCCAGCAGGGGAGCGCGCGCACTTAACCGCTAAGCCACGGGGCTGGCCCATGGAGGGAAATTTTAAATAAAGAAAAGAAAACCACTAAAATTGGAGATAATCGAGGAAATTTGAATATGGGCTGTGTATCAGAGGATATTAAGAAATTATTACATTTCCTAGGTATGATAATGCATTAGAGGTTATATATAGGAAAATATCCCCTTATTGTTAGAACATGTGGCTGGTGTATTTGTTGGCAAAGTATCATGTCTGGAACTTATTTTCCAATAGCATGGCAAGAAATATATATTAATATAAAGAGAAAGCAAATATGAGACAATATTAATGATTGTTGAATTTAGGTAGGGAGTATAAGAGTGTTTACTAAATTATTTCGACTTTTCTATAGACTTGACATTTTTTATAATAAAAAGTTAGGAGGGAGAAATCCACGCCGCTCGCCGTGGCCTGTAACCCTCTACTTGACCCAGGCTCTGGTCACCTCTCTGATCTCTCTGCCCTCCACTCGCCCCAGTGTTCGCCATGCTCCTCCACACTGGCTTCTTTCTGTCCTTTAAATTCATCGGCCTGTCTCAGGGCCTCTAAGCTTTGTGTTCCCTCTGCTTGGAATGCTCTTCCCCCACATCTTCACCTGCTGCCTCTTCCTTTCCTTCACATCTCAGCTTAAAAGTTACCACCTCTGAGAGGCCTTTCCTGTCTACCCTAACTCGGGTAGTACCCCCACACATATCCCAGTCACCAGTTTTGCTTTTGTTTCATAGCCCGTGATATCATATCATTTATGTTAGCTTACTCGGTTAATAGGCTCTTTCCCCATAGTCCACCGCTAGAGGCTCCTAGAGGGCAGAAACCTTGGCTCTCTTGTCTGTCCAGTGCCTGGAACAGTGCCCAGCACGGTAAATGCTTGTGGAAGGAGTGCATGAATATGTGCTGATACTAACATCTGTACCCCTAGCTCAACTCTCTTGAGCATCACCCTGTATCATTTGACCTGCTAGATGCCCTCACTCAGCTCTGCCACATGCACCTCGTTTCATCATCGTCGTGTGTTTGGTGAGGTTTTCACAGTATTTCAAGAATGTGTTCTGGAAATCTACCCTACAACATGGAGCCTATGATTAACAATACTGTGTTGTATACTTAGAATTTTGCTAAGAGGATAGATCTTATGTTAAGTGCTCTTACCACCAGAAAACCCCCAGAGGGGCAGTAGGAAACTGTTGGAGGTGATGGATAAGTTTAGGGTAGTGATGATGGTTTCACAGGTGTATACTTATCTCCAAACGCATCAGGTGGTGTACATTAAAAATCTACAGCTTTTTGAATGTCAAGCATACCTTAAAGTGGTTGGGGGAAAAAAGATGTTGGAGTCAGAAGAACTAAGAATGCCTGAATTCTGCCCTGCCAATCACCCCCTTCACAGAGAAGACCCCAAGAGAGGTTCAAGGAGCAAAAGCAAGTAGAAAATAAGGTACCATTTTACTATTAGCTGGTCTGGTGCCTCATATCTTGATGCAGAGCATTCTGGTAGACTGGGCTGGAGCATGTGCTTCACACCCTGAGCACAGCCTCTCCTGTCCCCTGAAGCCCAAACCAAATCAGGATATCTGCCATTCTCTCCCGGACACAGGGCTGATGATAAATGGTGTGAGAAGAGCCGAGCCTGGTGGCTGGCCCTCCTTGGGAAGGGACTCTCTGGCTCTGAACTGCATGCCTGAGTGGAAGAGGAAGAGGAGGAAAAGAGAACCCAACCAATATGCTTGACCTTTTTTTTTTTTTGCTGAGAAAGATTTTTTTTTTCCCCCAAAGCCCCAGTAGATAGTTGTACATCATAGCTGCACATCCTTCTAGTTGCTGTATGTGGGATGTGGCCTCAGCATGGCCGGAGAAGCGGTGCATCGGTGCGCGCCCGGGATCCGAACTCGGACCGCCAGTAGTGGAGCGCACGCTCTTAACCGCTAAGCCACGGGGCCGGCCCTTGCTGAGGAAGATTCACCCTGAGCTACCATCTGTGCCAATCTTCCTCTACTTTGTATGTGCGTCAACGCCACAACATGGCTAATGAGTGGTGTAGGTCCACGCCTGGATCTGAACCTGTGAACCCAGGCTGCTGAAGTGGAGCGCACAAACTTAACCACTATGCCGTGGGGGTGGCCCTTACTTGACCCTTTAAAGCACAGGAAAACATAACCAATCAGATGAGTATTCCCTTTTCAGGAAAGAACAAGAAGGGAAGGTTTCCTGGGGTGGGAAGAGAAACTAGGAGTTTTCTTTCCCCAGGGAGCTATAACCATCCTTCTCTCTAAGACTGCCCCAACTTTGGCATTTCCCATCCTAGGGATGCCCACCATGCTCTACCAGCTGCCCAAGCCAGAAACCTGGGTTTCCCTATTCCTCCACCCCCACATTCATCTGATTTTACCTCTTAGGAAGGCTTCGAATCCATCCATACTGCCTCAGCCCTGTTCTAGCTCAGGCCACAGTCATCTCTGGTTTCCTACAACAGCCTCCTAGCTGTTTCCCTGTCTTCCATCTTATCCTCATCAATTGCTTCCTGCACATTGTTCAGCCAGCTGATCATTCTGAGTAATGCAAAATTGGTCACCCCTCCCATGCTGCAGACTCTTCAGAGAATGCCCCTTACCCTGAGGCCTGGCAGGATCAGACCGTTGCCCACTTTCCCACCATTCTCTCACCACCCCCTCAACAGCTCCATGCTCCAGCTGCACTGAACTTTAGTTCTTCAAGTTCCACTCATTCCTGCCTTCCCATGCTATTTTTGTACCCTTTTCCCTATGTCCCACTCTCTCCTATTTGTCCTTCAGATCTCAGCAGCTAGAAACATCCCGTCTTTGTCTTGGAACTGGCGTGTCCAGTTACCTATTGGAATCTACTCTCCTGGGCCAGACTGGAGGCCCAGCCCACCAGTGTTCCCTCACAACAGCCTGAGCTTCCTCGTGTTGGCACTTACCCCTCTGAACTGTAATTGCCTCTGCTGTGAAATCTCTGAGGGCAGGAACCAGTTCTATTTTGGTCGTCATCCTCTGATCATCCCAGAGCCTACCCAAAGGACATTTGATGAATACAAGAACAGGGGCAAATGTTCAACGTATCTTTCTTGCTTATTTGATTTTTTGGCTCTACTGCTAAGGTCTTTAACTTTTCTGCAGGCAAGCAAGTTGTTAAAAGCCTTAAAAGCCTACCTTATACATGAAGCAAGAAAAGAAAATGAGAATCAAGTAAGTAACGCTTTTCATTACCTATTAAATAGCAAAACAATCATATTTAGTTAATGAGTGATAAACTATGATTAGTGATGACTTAAGGCAAGCTGTTTATAACCAAAGAGATCATTATTGATAATAGTAAATCCTTTCATCATAACTATTTGTTATAAATGGCGAAACTGCCTTGTGGCAAGTAACTTATTGAATAAGATGTTTGGTTTTTTTTTTATAATTTTATTTATTTATTTTTTATTTATTTTCCCCCAAAGCCCCAGTAGATAGTTGTATGTCATAGCTGCACATCCTTCTAGTTGCTGTATGTGGGACGCGGCCTCAGCATGGCCGGAGAAGCGGTGCGTCGGTGCACGCCCGGGATCCGAACCTGGGCCGCCAGCAGCGGAGCACATGCACTTAACCTCTAAGCCATGGGGCCGGCCCTGAATAAGATGTTTTTATACAAATGCAAAGGTTAATTACTAGTTGCCAAATGCTACGAGAGAGCGTGGTGTGAGCAGGGTGGGAACTGGACTCAAAGTCAGAAAAACCCAAGTGAAGTAGCAGCTCTGTCATTTCTTTTTGTGGACTTTGGGAAACTCAAACTCCTTAATTCTTAGTTTCCTGTTCTGTCAAATGGACATAACATCTCCTCTGCAGAATTGAGTGTTGTGAGAATTCAATGAAGCAGGGACTGTGGAAGTGACTTGCAGTAAACTCTAAACCACTGCTGATGGGAGGGGTCGTCGTGGCTGCTGTAAACCCAAACCAAAGGTTTTTGACAAGGCGTGACACCTAAGTGGATCAGTGAATCCTCCATTAGGGCCAGGGTTCTCAACTGAAAACGCAGAAAGGCCTTAGGAACTGGGCCTTGGAGAACATTGGTTACATGTCTGAAATGAAGGTAAATATACACGTGAGCTGAAAATCTAGCCGCCTCCCCTCTGTCTTCTCTAACTCTCTAAATTCCAGGGTATAAACATTTAGAAACTTTCAATATTCAAAATTCTTTTTGATTCCTAGTTTTAATTAACTTAAAATAGACAGCAAAAAATAATTAATTGTGAATTCTAGCTTTAAAAGTTTCTACATTAACTAAATCACTTATATATTTTATTTTATTTTATTATTTTTTTAATGGTTAAAGGATACATGATTGTAGTGCTATCTGAAATCAAGATTTTTACTTTGGGTAGTAATTAATAGACTAAGTTAAAAATGATCTATCATATTTCAAATGAAACATCTCAGGGGCCATTCCATTTTCAAAAACCTTCCCAAGAGTAGGATGACCATCAAAATTCAGTCAGAGAGAGAATTCCTAAGTGGTGAATCTGTCAATAGTGAGCTTAGATGGATGGAACCTGATGTAGACAGAGTTTATCTAAGGCTACAGAAGGAGTCAGCACAGTCCAAATACACGGCACAGAGATCATTAATGTGACCAAGGTCAGACAGACGGGTAAGCTTCCAGACCCCCCAGTCATCACCTGGGGAGTGCACAGGTGTGGACTACGTCGGTCCTTCTGGAAGCCTTATTCTCTGACTGTAGGTCAGCCTTAACTATATGAGTTGGAGCAGCTCTGGCTGTAGGTTAGTCTAGCTGTGTGCGGGGAACTCCCTTGTCTGAACCACGTGTGCCTCTTCAGTCTTGGACTTACACAGGTCTGTTACAGGTATATGATGGTACATTCAGGAAGGAGCACATCCTCCCCGATTACTGTTGGCCTCCCAGACTAACATACCATGGTTAAGGTGTATGGGGTTAAAACAAGACATTGCTGGGAGTAGTGCTAACAGGATTTTAAACCAGTTATAGGTCCTGTTCTGCACTGTGTTAATATGGGGTTGGGTGGGGGAAGGGATAAATAAATACTTTAAAAGTGTCCCTTTATATTCCAGCAATATGTGGTGTGACCCAAAGGTACCACTTCTATAGTGGAAACAGTTTCTTCTTCTTTTTTTTTTTTTTTTGGTGAAGGAGATTGGCCCTGAGCTAACATCTATGCCAGTCTTTCCTCTATTTTGTATGTGGGATGCCACCACAGCATGGTTTGATAAGCAGTGTGTAGGTCCGTGCCCAGGATCCAAACCTGCAAACCTCGGGCCACCAAAGTAGAGTACATGAACTTAACCACTAAGAGACCAGGCAGGCCCCTCTTTTTCTTTTTCCTTTCTTCCCCGTGACTATCCAGGGAGTTGTGAAGTGGGATCCAGAAAGCATCTTTCCATTCTCATGTAAATATCCCTGTTCCTTCAATTTTATTCTCATCTATTCCCATCTCTCACCTGTTGACCTCCTGGTTGCTTTCCAGTGTTCACTGTCTCGTTGTCTTCCTCATCACCTCATGTCCTGACCTTATTTTGGGTGAATTCCAGGTCCATCTGGATGTCCCTTACTGCCCTTGCCTCCTTGTTCCTAACTCCTGTGACTTTCATTTCCACTCTTCCTCAGCCATCCACTTCTTTGGGCATATTCTGGACCTTATATCACTTGGGACTATAATATTTCACCTCTGTCTAAAACCTTCCATTCTCTAAGCCCCCTTATTTTTTTTTTATAATTTTATTTATTTATTTTTTTCCCCCAAAGCCCCAGTAGATAGTTGTATGTCATAGCTGCACATCCTTCTAGTTGCTGTA